TATCATTCTCTAGCGACTGGTCCCTCCTGACAATATATCCAAACCGAAGTTTGGTCATAGTGTCCTCCAAGGAGCACTCTGGCTGCACTTCTTCCAACACAGATCTGTGGGTTCTTTTGGCAGCCCATGGCACTTTCAATATTCTCTTCCAACACCATAACTCAAAAACATCAATTCTTCTACAGTCTTCCTTATTTACTGTCCAGTTTTCACTGCCAAACCACCGAGATGGAAACCTCTCAGAGCTCTCTTTGCAGAAGTTTGTGCCAGTAGGATTTGAGGGTGTACTGGAGACCCAAGTTCTGCTCTTTGCTGTGTTCCTTATCCTGTACATGGTGACAGTGCTGGGGAACCTAACTGTGATCGTGGTCATCACTCTGGGTGCCCGCCTCCACTCCTCCATGTACTTCTTCCTCAAGAACCTCTCCTTCCTAAACATCTGTTACCCCTGTCATCACTCCCAAGGCCTTGGCCAACTTCTTCTCAACCAAAATTATCACCATCGGCTCAGTTCTTCTTTTCTCCCTGCTAGTCAATACTGAGGCCTTTCTCTTGTCTGTCATGGCCTATGACCACTTTATGGCCATCTGCAAACCCCTAAGATACCCAGTCGACATGTGTACCTCAGCCTGTGCCTGCCTGGTGGTAAGCACCTACTGTGGAGGCTCCAGTGATGGTGTTTCTACTGGTCCACAGGCTTCCCTCAGTATTGAGAACTAGGGCCAATGGGATAGGTTATGTTTTCATTACAGACTCATTGTACTTCCCTGTCATATGGCTGCACTACCCAGGCATAAGTGAAGACTAGTTTACAACTGATGTCTGCAGAGTCACTGGGTCCTCTTGGGACAACAGGGTCTTCTCTTGTATAGAAACAGAGCTGGACTTTGATGAGGAAAATGCTGGTGACCGCTCATCCATCCACTAATCCATCCATCCATCATCCATCATGTCATCCATCCATTCAGCCAGCCAGCTATCATTCATTCATCCTAGCAGCATCTCAACCTCACACATACCTAAGTTATGACAGTTGTTGTTGTTACATGCCTTTAACTTGTTCTGACCTATAGTGACCCTCTATAGGGTTTCCTAGGAGCAGCTGGTGATCTTGAACCACCAACCTTGTGGTTCAAACTGACATTGCAGTCCAGTACATTAATCCATAACACCTACCCATTTGCACCTTCATTCACATGGCTGTGTGTTTCTGGCCCAGTCTCCTCAGGGCATCCTTCACGTCTTTGTTCCGCAGACTGTAGATGAGGGGATCGAGCATGAGGATGACCAGGGTAGGCAGAACTTCATCTTTCAAACACTGCCAAACAGTTTTCAGGGAGGATTTAGAACAATTTTATGCTCCCCAAAGAAATATGGGAGTTTTTATTGCATCACATTGTTGTGAAATTAATAGTATCAATGAAGTTGTTGTTAGCCATTTGGTGAGCATCTTACTATGCTTCACCTACATTTTCTCCTGGTGAACTAGGTCGAGATTTTTTCCTGGCATATAGAGGTCTTTTGGGTATTCTTGGGATAATGTCATTGGTTTGCACTTTGTTAAACGATCTCTTTCTTACTGATTTGTAGACCTTCTGCATATGTTCTGGATAGGAGCCATTTGTTGGTGATATGCAGGGATTTTCTTCAAATTAGCAGCTTTCACATTCACCTTCTAGTATTTTCCTTATATAAACAGAATGTCTTACATTAAATAGAGCACATGTCTTCACTAAAATTCTGTGTCATAAAATATCACAAATTGCTTACTCTCAATTACTGACGTGGACCCCACGTTATATTTAGTACGCCAACTATGAACAACTCACAGGCAATTGTTGTTTGTGGTTGTTTTGGAGTAGGGTCCAGGTTTTTGTGGGATTTTTTGGTCATAAGGATACCTTGTTGTTGTTAAGTGCTGTTGAATTAGTTCTGTCTCATAGGCTTTCAGGGAGCAGCTGGTTTTGAACTGCTGACCTTGTGGTTCATAGTCCAGTACTGATCTATTGACCATTTGTTAGTAAACAATCCTTTTCTAACTCCTATACAATGCCACCTTTTTGTGGGTCTATATCAAGTTCATGGAAGGGAAGGTCCAATATTACAAAGACATTAATTATTCAACTTACTTTATAAATTCAATCTGACTTCAATCTACAGAAGATTTTTGTAGAATTGAACAAACCGATTTTGCAATGCGATGCATCATGTCAAAGAACATCCAGAGAATTTATGAAAAGTAAGAACAAGGAAGCGGATCTTGTCCTGAAAAAAATCAAGACTTCTTTTATACTGTAGCAATCTAAAGTGTAGTATAGTCAAATATCTCATGGTGGTAGTGGTTATGTGCTGAGGAGTTAGTTCTGACTCATAGCGACCTTGTACAAG